CATCTAGTAAATACTAGAGCATTCGTGAAGAAACAAGATAGTTCTAGAAACTAGAGGGCGCCACACCAGTCACGTGACCTCGATGACGCAACAACTATTTATCAGGTCACCATGATCACCTCAAACGATAAGATAGAATCATCCCACTACACTAAATGAAATACATCCTTATATCGTGGGGGGGGGGGGCGAAAGAGGATTAAATAATCTTCGAGCACTCCGGATGCCAAATGGTTTGATTATTTTGTAATTCAACCTATTTTTCAACCAAATACTCGTCAACGTTATTGAACACCGAGAGGAATTATTGGATTTTAAAATTTGTTAATAATTCTAATTAAAGAGTACCTTGAGAACCAGTAATGTTGAGTTAGAACGCAAAAACACATCCTACAGGGATCGTACTTGTAGATCAAATATGCAAAAGTTATTAATAACTCCCATAATCGTAACACACTTTTTCAAACTACCTACAGATCATACAGGACACGTTACAAAACTCAAACTGGTATTGGCATTCAATACCTAGTGGGTTGGAATTTTGTTTATTTGCAGTTAAGCACAAAGCTACACAATTGACTGTCTGTGCTGTGCACACCACGGGTATCGAAACCCGGTTTCTAGCGTTATAAATCCGCAGACTTACCGCTGTGCCACTGGGGTGTTGTGGGTTGGAAGCAAGAAACTGCTAGGTTTCATGTTCAGGTCAAGGTTGTTAAGTTCTTATTTAATTAATTAAATGCTTTCAACTTGCATACAATTCACACTACACCTGTCACACAAAAAACTGAAGCATGCATGCGATAGCTGAAAGAAGACAAAGAACTGTCAAAGTTTAAGTTTACAATCAAGTAATAAACAAAAATAAGTGATATCGGTATAAAACATTGGGTAATAAACATGACCAAGTCATAAATAAGCAAAAGCAGAAATACATCAAAGTTGTGATATCACAATGATATTCCAAACAAGGTTTTGAGCTAAATAAAAGTCCTCTCCTCGCAACAACGTTTTCGATTGTCTAACTAGGTCTTGAGTTTCTTACGTATGGCTTAAGATTATGCAAAGAACCGCTAAATACTTATTATCTTTCTACTTCAAAAAAGGAAAGAATAAAAAATCAGAATAAGAACTTAGACTACACAGATCTTTACAGTATCTCATCACACAATCTGATTCCTGTTTAAATATTACTTTCTCTAAATTTTTTTTAAGTGTTAAAAATACCCATCCCAGTTATACAATCTAAAACCTAACTTGGCATTTCATAGCGATATTACAGTTTCGATGTATTTTGGCTTTGCTCTACCTAACTTGGCCACCTTTTTTGACTTATCGTATTTATGCACCGATTAAACTTTATAATGATTTTCATTGTAAATTTCTAATGGATATAATTATTTTGATTTAACAAATCAGGTCATAATAAATCGATATTTGGTCATTTGTTTCAGTAACTAACTAATAATGACAATGAATATTATTAACCTCCTCTGTGTGTGTGTGTGTGTGTGTTCTTGGTCGTTATTTAGGTCATTTTAAGACTTGAGAGGGCCAGGTGTAAT